AAAAAAAAAAAAGGTTGAGAAGTTAGAGGATTGATATGTTGTGGGGTTGTTAACCAATGTCATAAAACAACATGTGTACTTCTGTTTCATGAGAAGGTATTTGTTCTGTAAGCCTTCACCTGAAGCACAATTAAAAAAAAAAAAAAGAAGGTCATGTGAAGACACTGAGACATACACAAACAAGAAAGGTCATGTGAAGATAGATTGGAGTGATGCTCCTTCAATCCAAGAAATGTTAAGAATTGCTGGCAACCACTAGAAGCCAGGAAGAGGCAAAAAAGGATTCTTCACTAGAGCATGGCTCTGTTGACAACTTGATTTTGGACTTCTAGTCCACAAAACTGTGAGACAATAAAATTCTGTTGTTTTAAGCCACCCAGTTTGTTAATTTGTTATGGGAGATCCTGAAAACTAATACATAGCCAAAGCCTTCAACCGCTAAGTTTGTGTCTGGAAAAATAATTTTATCGTAAGGAGGTAGTCATCTGGATCTGATTCTGTCCCTGAGATCTGCTTTCTCTTTCTACGTGTGGATGCCTCTTCTGATTCCTACTGTCACCACTGCAGGACTTCACAGTGTGCTGTTCGTCTTTAATGACTTCCCCCAAAGACAGAAATAATCCATGCTTTTCCATTCTGGAACCTAGCTAACACAAAGCCAGAACATCTAACCTAGATGACACAGTGCCAAGCATATTACATATCATTATCTTGTATATTACTGTATTTAATCCTAATATGAACATATTACAAGAGTTCTCAGTATCATTCAGATTTCTTGGTTTCAAATAATGGACATCAATTTGGATATTTTAAGCATAAAGGGAATATGCTGGAAGAATATCTGGGCCTCATAAAGCTTGGACTATGATCATAAACCAAGGGAGCTTGCAAGGGCCATGTTGTCTGAAGTGTCATGGTCCTGAAACATTCTGCTGCACTGGACGAATAGGTTCTCCAACAGCACCCACGTAGTGGTGTCATTCAGTCAAGTCAAATTTCTTGGGAGAGATGTCTGATAAGCCTAACTCATGGACTTTCTCCATGGCTGCTCTGGGATATGGTGAGCAAAGACTGGCCCCTTTGGCTTCCTCAGAGGGAGTGGTCACTACCTTTAAGGTTACAATCAATGGAGCCACAAGCTGAAGATCAATATGTAATGGATTTTATGTGTGATAATTTAGTACCCTTATTTGTTTTTTTTTTGTTTTTTGTTTTTGTTTCTTATTTCATTTTACTTGGATCCACAGTCAATGCCCACGGAAGCAGCAGTCAAGAAATTAAAGGACTTACTGTGTTAGGCAAATCTGCTGCAAAAAAACCTCTTTGAAGTGTTAAAAAGCAAAGATGTCACTCTGAGGACTAAGGTGTGCCTGACCCAAGCCATGGCATTTTGAGTCACCTCATATGCATGTGAAAGCTGGACAATGAATAAGGAAGACAGAAGAAGGATTGATGCCTTTAAATTATGGTGTTGGTGAAGAATATTGAATACACCAAGGACTGCCAGAAGAATAAACAAATCTGTCTTAGAAGAACTACAGCCAGAATGCTCCTTAGAAGTAAGGATGGCAAGATTTCATCTCACTTACTGTGGACTTGTTATCAGGAGGAACCAGAAGGACATGTTATCAGAAGGACATCATGCTTGGTAAAGTAGAGGATCAGCGAGAAAGGGGAAGACCATCAATGAGATGGACTGACACAGTGGCTGCAACAATGGGCTCAAACAGCAATGATTGTGAGGATGGAGCAGGACCGGCCAGTATTTCATTCTGTTGTACCTATGTCCAATAGAGTCGCTATGAGTCGAAACCAACTTGACGGCACCTAACAAGATTTGTTTTGCACATGGGTTGTCAGCAAAAAGAGTTTTCAGTGTTCCTGTCTTATCTGAGCTGTACTGAACAAAGTCAAGGAAAGTCATGTGTCTATGACCCATTTTAAAACTTACACCAGCTCCTCACCTGAGGCCAATGCAATCATGTCCCTGGGAATCAACAAGGAAAAAGTAGTGATTTTTAGCCTTTTTTTTCTTCGTGGACCCTTTTTAGAATCTGATGAAAGATCTTCCTCCAGAAATAGTCTCATGCACAGATATATCCAGGCATATCCATTTTGAGGACCCACTTAAGTCCATCCGTGGACTTCATGGAGAGCATAAACCCTTGTTAAGAGTTCCCTTTTAATGGGAAAATGAATCTCAGTCACTGAGTCAGAACCACAAGCTTCAGTCTTCCTCTCCTCCTTGAAAGTTTTCTTAGGGTGCCAATCTTAACGGTTCTATTTTTCTGGAGAGAGGGTCATTTTTCTTGAATGGGAAGCATGAGGTAGAGACACAGGAGTCAAGCATGTGTTTTACTTACAACTTGAGGGTAGCTAACTAGTGTGAGTATATTTATCCATTTTCTCTCTGGCTCCTTCCTTTCATACTCCTTCCTTGAGAAGTAAATGTGGGGAGTCTGAATGAAGGAGACTAGGTTAGTCTGTCTTCAGAGACTGCATGTCTTGGAATACGCTGAGATTCATAGTGGTCCTGATGATCATCTTTAATACTGGCAAAATAGAGAGAATACATTGTTTCCTCTAGTGCTCCAGGAAAAACTGCAAAACATACTAACTCTATCCCTGACCTCTTCCCTCCTTCGCTGACCCAGAACCCTCAAATAGGCTTCCATCATGTAAAGTTCTGCCTTTCCTTCTTTTCCCTTTTTCCCTGCCAGTGCAGGAAAGTGCTCTGAAGCTGACCTTTCTCAGATTGATGGTGATAATGTAATTGGTACCATGGTTCCAGTGCCTAATGGGGAATTTGCATCCCAATGAAAGAATTATTAATTAAGATGAATTCCTCCTTGGAATTTGGAATATGGGGAGGGGGACTTCTGCCTATGTATTAGTTCTAGAGGAAAGTTAGGAGTTAAGAAGGATGATGAGAGCAGGGGAAATAAATAGCTAAGTTTAGATAGTCATGTAGTGCTCCTGTTCTCTGAGAAAGAATAAACTAGGAAAGGCATGATTCCAATTTTTCCCACTCGTATCCCTACTTTAACTGCCAGAGTGAATTCCCATAGCATTTTTTGCCATAATTCTTCATTGTCAATTTCTGTGATAGGATTGATTATGTTGTGGTAACAAATAGACCCAAACATGTAGTGGCTCAACAAAAGAGAAGTTTACTTTTTGTTCACATAATGCCCAGTGAGGTCCCAGGTTAGTGGGGGACATTTACTCCACACAGTGATTCAGAAACCCAGGCTGATGGTAGTTCTGCCATCTTCAACTTGTAACATCCAAGGTTCGATTGTGGAGGAACACACCCGGGATATTTTTGTGGGCCAGGCCTGGAATCCATCACTTATTCTCGCATTCCACTGGAAAGAAATAAATGACATGGTCACACCTAACACCAACCTTTCAGCTAGTAGTTGAGTGCTTAACCCTTTGTGCCTCCCAGGGACTCCATAGCTTAACACTAAAGACATTGGATCAAGACTGTTTGAATTCAAACCCAATGCTAACTAATTTTACGAGATATGCGACCTTGAAAAAGTTTCTTAATCTGAAAAATGGGAAAAATAATAGATTTGTTGTGAGGATTAAATGATTTAATATACATAAACCACTTAAGAGTGACTGGCACATAGTAAATTATTGTTATTCTGCTCAGAATATGCTACACCCTCTGGCCTGTGGACTTGTATCAATTGAATTTGAACTTGAAATAAGAATCAGTGATTGAAGATAGGAGCCTTGGGAACACGGCGGTTAAGTGCTGTGACTGTTAACTGAAAGGTCAACAGTTCAAATCTACCAGCTTCTCCTTGGAAACCCTATGGGGCAGTTCAACTCTGTCCTATATAGTCGATATGAGTTGGAATTGACTCAACTGTAATGGTTTTTTTTTTTTTTTTGGTTGAAGATGGTAGGGCAGAAAAAAGAATAGGGGATGCATTTCCCCACAGTGCCCCCTTTCCAAAATACTTACAGAGTTATTTCAGTAAATTAGTTAGAATCTGGCCATTCACTACCTAAAAAAAAAAAAAGAAAAAAACACCAAACTCGTTCCCGTCAATCCCAACTCATAGCGACTCTATAGAACAGAGTGGAATTGTCCCATAGTGTTTCCAGGGAGTGGCTGGTGGATTTGAATTGCTGACATTTTGGTTAGCAGCCAAGTTCTTAACCACTATGCCACCAGGGCTGAGCTCTCAAGCCCTCACAAACAGATTAGAAATCTTGTCCTTTAACCATTCACATACCCATTTAATTGGTCCACCACATTTCATTGACTTGGGGGGGGATATTTTCTTTCTTTTTCACACAACAAGATAATACATTGTGACAGAATGCAATCCATTTCCATCCAGGTTTACAACCGAAGAAACATAAGCCCTTAAGTGCAGTACAAGTGCGAAATTCTACTCCATCATTTCCAAATAAACCATTCCCTGAAAGGAAAAAAACAAAAACAAAACAAAACAACAAACAAAAAAACACGGAAAAGAAAAATCAGTATTCAACAGCCCGGGAGAAATCCTAGGTCTGGTATCTCTCCCTGGTGGATGATTTGTTATTTTGTGATTTACCTTCTGTGCCCCATCCTTTCATCTCCTATCACAACACAGTGAAGGTGATTGAATCTAAGGTTAATCAGAGGAACCTGAAGGAATTTGGATGGCTGAATAGTACTATGTGTATCATAAAATTGGCTCCCCTTTCTCAAGCTTTGCCAGGGAATTCAGACCTTCAAGATGTAGCAACAGATGAGCAAGGAAGTGGCAGAAGACTCTTCACCCACAGCCCATCCCTAGCTTGCTGGCCTATCTGATGTTGGTGTCTCTGTCACTGGACTTATAGCCACAGGGCTTGGAGTCTATGGGTGGTGCAAAGGGTTAAGCACTCAACCACTAGCCAAAAGTTTGGAGCTTCAAACACACCCAGAAGTACCTCAGAAGACAGGCCTGGGTATCTGAAAGGCCACAGCCTTGAAAACCCTATGGAGTAGTCCTATTCTGCACACATAGGGTCACCATGAGTCTGAATCAACTCTACGACAACTGACAACAACAGTCCTTGGGAGACTACCACTTCATGTTCAGACCTGTATCCACCATCTTACCTGAAGGCAATGAGATCACCAGGAGGAAGAGTGCTAATCCAGAAAGATAGGGCTTCATCTCTGAGGAAGACACAGAGCCTGGAACTTCCTGGGGATGGCTGTCAGGGAGGCTCCTTTATAGAGCTGGGCTAGGATGGGTGGGGCTGGACAATGGCCTCACTGTGCCTGCAAGAGCAGATAGGAGAAATCACCAGGTTAGAGGAAGAAGAGTATCTGGGTGTCATTCAATGCTGCCTCCTCTTCTACAAAACATGGGAGATGAAGGGATTTGGCCAAAGCTAAAAAGTTTATTATTGGCAGTACTGGACTAAAGAACAGGCATCCTCACTTGGAGGCCTGAACATTTTCTTCTATAATGTCAAATGTATTTTATATATAAAAATGGCTGGAAAAGAGTCTGCTGTGTTTTTCCTTTCCTTTGGAGGCCCACTGGGATTACAGGAGCACAGAGAAACTATGTTGTAAAACACAGGCTTAATTCAAGACTGGAGATATTTCAAAAGGATATAAGCAAGAACTTGAAGTGTTCGAAGAAACAAAGGGATTCAAGGTGTCAACTGTTTGCCTGACCAAGAGTAGATAGGAGCTCAGGAGTAGTGGAGAAGGGATAGCTTCCTCTTCTGGTGGTCAGCTCATTCATGAGGCTGAAGGTAGATGCTGCTGGGAATGATTTACCCAGAAAAGTTCACTGATGAGTTTTGTTTTCCAAATGCCTGGTGGAAAACATGGGCCAGAATTTTGAAACTTTGAGGGCTCTGGTAGAGGTTCTCTGTTTGGAGGGGGTGGGTGGTAACTGGCCCCTGGTCTCAGGAGAAGAGCCAGGTCAGTGCTGATTCAAGGTTGGATGCCCCGGTGTCATTAGTGGAGCTGAACAATGCTTCCCCGGGGAGCTACAGAAAGACAGTTCTTGGGAAGGGTCATTAGGCCTGTTCCCCTTGGGGTACTGGTGGAGGACTGAGGGTGGAGAAGACACTAACTTTGGTTTTACCTTGCCCCTTGAGGCAGGCTTGTACCCAAGTGGTCCATGAGCATCAGATCCTGAGGCTGTAATGGGGCAGTAAAACATAGTTTTGGTGGTTACGCTCTGCTTTGTAGTCCCACACTCTTGGATAGATTATTTAGCATCTCTCTGCCTTGTCTTCCTCTTCTGAAAAAGTGGATTGTAAGAGAGTTGTTTGAGGATGAAATGAGATAAAGCTTATAAAATGCACTAATCCTGGCATATATTAAGTAGCTATTATTATTATTATTAAATTGCATCATTATAGCTGTTTTTTTCTCTTTTACAGCTCCTCTCCAAATGCTTTATTAGTGAATGTAAAATATTGCTGGGAGGGTTTTATTCTGCATTCCGACAATGTTCCAACTGCTGTAGGTTGGAATGGCGGTGAAGCAGAGATGATGGGATATTAAATATTCCTCAGTGTCAGGTCAAGTCTGAAGATTCCCATACATGACTCAATGGAAGGCTCCCAGGAGACCCTGCACTGGACATGTGATTCATGTCCATAGAGCTCAGACCTTATCCTGACCACCCGTTACTGTCAATATGACACAGGGCTCAATGGCGTTGCCTCATCTTTTGGAGTTGGAGAAATCAAGGCTCAGAGAGGCAAATGAGCTCGCACAAAGAAAGGAAGCAAGCTCTGGGCTTTGCTGGGTCTGGTATTTAGGTCTCTCGCTTCTCAGTCCAAAACTCTCTCCTCCATATATTTTAAGTTTTTCCATCATGTATTAGAGAATATGGGAAGTATGCACTTAACATTTTCTAAATATATCTGAGCCCCTTCCTGCACACAATTCTGGGAAGGTAGATCTAAAATGTGGTTGGAGATCAATATGCGTTCAGGACAGACCAGTTCCTTCCCACCCACGCACGTCCTTATTAGTGAACCACTGACCCAACTTCTTAGCAGGAGTTTCTCCTAATTGTGCTGAATGTTCTCAATACCTGCTGAGGTCTTATTGGGAAAAGCTGCAAGGACACAAAAACTGCTTCATGTTCTTCTCTTTAGTGTTGATTTGCTGTTGCTCTCTTCCTTTATCTTTAGTTTCCTAGAATTCTTGTGCTCTTCTAATCATGTGTACCTTCAAGAAAAAAAAATCCAGTACAAATCATCTCCTTGTTGAAGGAGAATCCCCTCTTTCTGTTTTTTTTTTTTTTTTTATTGTGCTTTTGGTGAAAGTTTACAGCTCAAGTTAATTTCTGACTCAAAAATTTATACACAGATTGTTTTGTGACATTGGTTGCAATACCCACAATGTGACAGCACGCTCTACCTTTCCATCCCAGGTTCCCTGTGTCCATTCGTCCAGTTCCTGTCCCTTCCTGCCTTCTCACCTTGCTTTTCGACAGGAGTTGCCCATTTTGACTGAACTAAGAAGCACAACCTAGCTTGCTGAAAGTGAAGAGGACTTGAAGCACTTACTGATGAAGATTAAAGACCACAGCCTTCAGTATGGATTACACTTCAACATAAAGAAAACAAGAATCTTCCCAACTGGACCAATAAGCAACATCATGATAAATGGAGAAAAGACTGAAGTTGTCAAAGATTTCATTTTACTTAGATCTACAATCAACACCCACAGAAATGGCAGTCAAGAATTCAAAAGACATATTGCATTGGGCAAATCTGCTGCAAAAGACCTCTTTAAAGTGTTAAAAAGCAAAGATGTCACCTTGAAGACTAAGGTATGCCTGACCCAAGCCATGGTGTTTTCAGTCACATCATATGTATGCAAAAGCTGGACGATGAATAAGGAAGACTGAAGAAGAATTGATGCCTTTGAATTATGGTGTTGATGAATAATATTGAATATACCATGGACTGCCAAAAGAACTAACAAATCTGTCTTGGAAGAAATACAGCCAGAACGCTCCTTAGAAGCAAGGATGGCGAGACTACGTCTCACATACTTTGGACATGTTATTGGGAGGGATCAGTCTCTGGAGAAGGACATCATGCTTGGTAAAGTAGAGGACCAGCAAAAGAGAGGAAGACCCTCAACAAGATGGATTGACATAGTGGCTGCAACCATGGGTTCAAGCATAACAATGATTGTGAGGATGGCGCAGGACGGGGCAGTGTTTTGTTCTGTTGTAGATAGGGTCGCTATGAGTCAGAACCGACTCGATGGCACCTAACAACAACAACAGATGAAAGTTTACAAAGCAAATTAGTTTCCCATTCAACAACTTATACATAGCTTGTTTCATGACATTGGCTGTAAACCCCTGAATATGTCAGCACTCTCCCCGCTTCCTCCCTGGGTTCCTTGTGTCCATTCACCCAGCTTTTCTGCCCCTACCTTCCTTCTGAACTTTGCTTTTGGGCAAAAGCTGCCCTTTATGTGTCATGTAGTTGATTGTTCTGAGGTATAGATTCCTCACTGGTGTTATTGCTCATTTTATAAAACCATCTGTTGTATGGCTATACTATGATCTCCAGGAGTGATTTCAGTTCCAAGTTTGAAGAGTGTCTAAGGACCATAGTCTCAGGGGTTCCACCAGTCTCTGCCAGACCAGTAAGTCTGCTCTTGTTTGTGAGTTTGAATTTTGTTCTACGTTTCTCTCCCACTCTGTACATGACCTACTATTGTTGTCCTTGTCAGAGCAGTAGGTAGTGGTAAATGGGTACCATCTAGTTCTTCTAGTCTCAGGCTAGTGGAGGCCATGGTTCATGTGGTCCATTAGTCCTTTTGACTAATTGTTTCCTTGAGTTTTTGGTTTTCTTCACTCTTCTTTACTCTGGATCGGAAGAGACCAATTGTATCTTAGATGGCCACGGGCAAGCTTTTAAGACCTCATTCACTAGTCAACAAGGTAGGATGTAGAACATTGTCTATATGGATTATCATATGCCAATTGACCTAGATGTCCCCCAAGACTATGGTCCCTAGCCCTCAAGCTAAGTGTCTCAGTCCCAGGAGGTGTATGGTTACGGCTAAGAAGTTTTCATGACTTAGTCCTCTGTGCACGCTATTGCATACACGGGTATATTTGCAACATGTACATGTATATATGTATATAAGTGTACTTCCGTATGTCCTTCCTCCCCTGTTCAGCTTACATATGTATCTCTGTATCCACTCATACATTATTGTTTGTTATTACTGTTGTTGCAAGATTGTATATGTATTAGTATTTACCATTGTTGCCTGTTAATCTTGGGTAACTTTCAGTGTCTTCCTTTACCTTGATTATGTTGTGCTGACTTCTCCCATATTGTTTATTATCTTTCCCTTCACCAAAGTTAGTATGTGTCTACTATCCGGTTAGTGGTCCTCCCCTATCCCTGGTAACCATCAAAGAATATTTCTGTCTGTGTGTAAACCTTTTCTTTACGTTTTATAATAGTGGTCTCATACAATATTTGTCCTTTTGTAATTGACTTATTTTACTCAGCATAATGTCCTCCAGGTTCATTCATGTTGTGAGATGTTTTGCAGATTCATCATTATTCTTTAAAGTTGTGTAGTATTCCATTGTGTGTATATACCACAGTTTGTTTATCCATTCATTCGTTGATGAACACTTAGGCTATTTCCATCTTTTTGCTGTTGTAAGTAATGCTGCAATAAACATGGGTGTGCATATGTCTATTTTTGTAATGGCTCTTATGTCTCTAGGATATATAAATAAGAGTGGGATTGTTAGATCATATGATATTTCTATTTCTAGATTTTTGAGGTAGTGCCATATCATTTTCCATAGTTGTTGTACTATTTTACATTCCCACCAGCAGTGTATCAGAGTTCCAATCCCTTCACAGTCACTCCAGCATTTGTTGCTTTCTGTTTTTTTGATCAATGCCATTAGTACCAGTGTGAGATGGTATCTCATTTTAGTTTTGATTTGCATCTCTCTAATGGTCAACTATTGTCAGCATTTCTTCATGTGTTTGTTGGCTGCTTGAATGTCTTCTTTGATAAAGTGTTCACGTCCTTTGCCCATTTTTTATTTTTTTAACAGAAAAACTTGATAAATTAGACTTGGTCAAAACCATAAATAATCATTGCTCTTCAAAAAATACTGGTAGTAGAATAGAAGACAAG